TTGTTACCTTAAGGACTCTAGTTTTCCATTTATATGTTTAAGTACCAACCTTACCGGCTTAAAAATGTAAGCTTTTAACACTGCTCTCTCTGTTCCGTATCCTTCCAATGAAAAGTGGAGTTGGGTTGCGGCACAGGAGAGAAACTCAGAAGGGGAATATTGAAGTAATGACTGCAGTAGGAGAAGAGGGAACCTATTTCCCGGGCCACAGGTGCTGGCACCCTGGACCACAGGGCTGACAGCTTCTCCGGGTGGCTGCAGCCTGGCACCTCAGGGCGGGTGGCTTGTCCGTCTCCTGGGCCGCAGCCAGCCGCAGGCGCTGGCACCTGGACAGCAGGTGGGCGGCTTCTCCATGTCCCCTGTGATGCAGTGTGGGCAGCTTCTCCGGCTGGCTGCAGTCTGGGATCACGGGGCAGGCAGCTTCTCTGGCCAGCTGCGGCCTGAGATCACGGGCAGGTGGCTTCTCTGGCCGGCTGTGGCCTGAGATCATGGGCAGGTGGCTTCTCTGGCCAGCTGCGGCCTGAGATCACGGGCAGGCGGCTTCTCTGGTCGGCTGCAGACTGGGATCACGGGCAGGCGGCTTCTTCGTCTCCCAGGCCGCAGCCAGCCTCAGGCACCGGAGCCAGACTTCTCTGTCTCCCCTGACTTCTGCGTCTCCAATAGGCCTGGAGCAGCCAAAGCCGGGATGCTTGCATGGTAGCTGTGGCTGCAATGCAAGTATCCCGGCTCTGGCCTCTGCCATCTTTGTTGGGTTAATGTGCATATCTCTGGATCAGTTGGTGGGCGTGACTGGTGGGCATGACTGGTGGGCGTGGCTGGTGGGCATGGCTTGGGTGTAGCGAAGGTATGGTCAATTTGCATGTTTGTCTATTTTTAAATGACCGGTATGTGTCATATGTACCAGCCGGTCGGTCGGATGGACAGTTGGTTACTTAGCCTTTTATATATATAGATAAGCCATTGGAATTACCAATTACCAAAAGGCACCTGCTAGTAAGATGGTCCTGGAAAGTAATACAGAACAGCACCCTTTGTACCTAGCTTTTGTACCACCAGAAATCTCCTTTTTACGACTTCATTCTGGCAATTTTTTGGCCAGTTACATAACAATTTTCAAAGGCAAAAGACCATACAATATATGATTTTTATAATAAGAATAGTTGTTATTGAATTTCTTTTAAAGAGAAATCTTTGACCTGGCTGGGTCAGATGGTTGGAGTGTCTTCCCATTAACTAAAGGGTTGTGGGTTTGGTTCCCAATCAGGGCGCATGTGCAGGTTTTGGGTTTGATCCCATGTCTTGGGGACTGTCTGGGAGGCAACCAATGGATGTTTCTCTCTCACATCTATGTTTCTTCCTCTCTCCCTTCTTCTCTAAAATCAACTTAAAAAGTAGAGAAATCTTCAATGTCTGAAAAACTATAATGAAAACTCAGAACTAAAATTATTTTAAAATAATTCATATACAGCAACAATGTCCAAAAAGTTGAGAAGGAATGCAAAGAACACATAATGAGGGGGGGGAGGAAAAGGAGGGGGGAGAAAGTGCCCATTCTGCTCTAAGAAGCAATGGAAAATATTTAAGAAATTTCCTTATGTCTAAGAAGTCCATTTTCCCCAATATCAAAGTAAACATTAAAGCATTTAAACTATAGTGTATAGAAATAGATACTTTAAATTTTCTAAATAAGAGTTCTAAAGCTCAAAAGAGATTGTCAATTGTGAGGTTAACTAGAACTTTTTAAAAGTTTAAGAGAGACATTTCCTTTTTATCCAAAAATGAAAACAAAATTAAACAAATGTAATATCCTCTAGTAATAAAAATAATCAAAAGGGAAATGAAAAATACTAAGGATCATAAATTAAGCATAGGCTAAAAAATATCCTCATCAGGTTAAAACCTTTCACTTATTTTTAAGAGGAAATACTAAACTTGCCAGAATAGGGAATATATTTCAATAGTCCTTGTTGCGGTAGATGAGAAACTCATTATGTCAATACCCCCGAGTCTCCCTTAAAAGGAAAGAACTTAGCTGGGATTGGAGCAGGAGCGGTGATTCTTCTCCAGTCCTTGCAGATGAGGGGCTCATCATGTCACAGCCCTCATTCCTCCTTAAGATAAGATGGCATGGGCATATTGAACATCAGTAAGGTTAGCACAGCTGCCAGATTTTTTTATGGCCACCCTGCACAGGTTTTTGTTTTCACAATATCTGGAAATGGCCTAGGGGGAGACATGAGACAGAACACAGGTACATTCAAAAGAAAGGAGCTGCAGCCTTCACAGAGAAAGCATCACTGATAGCCACACATTCCCACTTCCTTATATGGATTATAGTAATTGCCTCTTCGGAGAGCTGGCGTATACACTGCTTGGTCCTTGGGATCCTACTTCATGCTCATTTACTAAGGTAAGTCACTTCGGGACTGTGATTAGATTACCAGAGCAAAGGGGAACTTAGAATTTACAGTTTGGATTTTCTCAACAATGTCAAAGTTGTGACAAGGTCCTAACAACAATATCATCTGTTGCCTGCACATTTGGTTCCATAAACATAATAAACTTACACTTGGACAAAGTCATTGTTGACTCAGCTATTTAAATTTTAGCCAATCTTCATTAGTTAGCAATTGCTCTAGGCAAATTTTAATGAGGCAGGCATGGGCTGTACTTGATTGAAAGGTAGGAAAGTGCTAATGATCGAAGCACTATAAAGGTACTATTTCAGTTGCACATTAATTAAGGTAGAAACACGTCTTATTCTAAAGGAGCATCAAAGTACCACAGAAAGTGTCCAATTTAAAAGTGTCCATTTCCGTTGAGAATAATTTTGTTGTATATTCACCAAAAGCCATAAGCCATAATTACTTTGTTCAATGTACTTTACCATCTCCATTAAAAAACCTATATACTTTCTACAGCAAGTGTTTGAAGCACATATTCTATAATCTTAGTATAAGTCTCTCAGGTTAGATTTGTTAACAAACTAAAGGTACTAAACTGTGATATATACAGAAAAGACATGAATTTGCAAACTGAGTTAAGAGTGATAAGTAGAATATGGTTGTAGATATGATTAATGATACAATTGTAGGAAATTCTTCATGTATGGTTATAAAATAGAATACAGTTTCAAAAAAATTCTGAATCATGGTCACAGAGATCATTTTTGTATAATGTGGGATTCTTAAATAAACCAGAAGAGATACCACTAATATGATGTGAAAGAGTTCATAAGTCTTCTTCAATGTGCTAGTTTAAAAAGCTTTTCATTTTCCTAGTTACTACATAATAAGATTTATCCACAGATATTGGTTTTGGTGTCTGGCAGCAAACCCCACTTTGGATTCTCACAGCCTTACCTCTAGGTTCAGTGCTCTTTCTTTTCCAAGAGGAGCAAATGCAATAGGCAATCCGTGGTCACTTGCTAAGGACCGAAGGTCAAAATAGTATTTGGCATAGACACTGAGCGAAACATAAAGACTAAACTGTAGTAGATAAAAGTATTGTCTTTCCAGTTCACTTCTGGGCAAGAAGGAAAACACAAAATTAATACAGGACAATTTTAGTCAACCTGGCTATCTTCAAAATTATCATTCTAAACTACTAGGTTGACTCTGCGTTTTGTTTTGAAACAAATAAAGGCTACCCAGCTGGATTAGTACACTAATGTTCAAACAAACATAGACAAGGTACAGCTATTTGTCGTCCCTCTTGCATCCAGCTCTTTGAATTTTGGACAAGGGGAGGAGGTTACGTCTCTTGTGCTCAACTGCTGCTGACTATAGAGGCTTATTCATCAGAGTCCCATTAGTGCAGCTGTAGGTTCGTGCTCCTTGCTCACTCACAGGGCCCCACTCTAGTGTTCAGATGGAAGGAATGATGTACTGTTCCTTAGCCCTGAAAAACTTGCAGACATTTTCACCAGGCCCATAACAGGAAGGGGATTAGTAAAGTAGAGATGTGCCTACAAAAGGATTGGGCACATCATCACAGTAACAAAACAATTCATTGAGAGCCACCAATATCTCTGAGGGAAAAACTCTTGGAAAATTATGAACACCTAATAAGGAAATGGAGGAAGATACAAAAAAATGAGAGCATACACCATGCCCATGGATAGGAAAAATTAACATCTTTAAAATGTCATACCACCCAAAATAAAATTCCTATTAAGATACCAATGGCAGCTTTTACAGAAGTAGAACAAATGATCCAAATTTTTATATGGAATCACCAAAGGCCCTAAATAGTCACAGCAATCCAGAGAAAGACAAAGTTGGAGGTATCACACTACCTGCTATCAAACTATACTGCAAAGTTATAGTAATCAAAACACCAAGGTACTGGCATAAAAAAAAACATATAGACCAATGGAACAGAATAGAAAGCCTATAGATAAATTGACTATGTGATCAATTAATATTTGACAAAGGAGGACAGATCATTCAATGAGTAAAGACAATCTATTCAATAAATGGTGTAGGGCCCTAACCGGTTTGGTTCAGTGGATAGAGTGTCGGCATGCGGATTCAAGGGTCCAAGGTTCAATTCCGGCCAAGGGCATGTACCTTGGTTGTGGGCATATACCCAGTAGGGAGTGTGCAGGAGGCAGCTGATTGATGTTTCTTTCTCATCAATGTTTCTAACTCTCTAACCCTTTCCCTTCCTCTCTGTAAAAAAAAAAAACAATAAAATATATATATAAAAATAAATGGTGTAGGGTAAATTGGACAGATACAAACAAAAAATGAAACTAGACCACCTTCTTCCACCATATACAAACATAAACTCAAAATGGATTATCAACTTAAATTCAAACCATAAAACTCCTAGAAGTAAACATAGGCAGTGAAATCTAGGACACTTCTCTTAATAATATTTTTTTGTTGATATATCACCTGCAGCATGTGAAACAAAAGAAAAAATAAACAAATGGGACTGTATCAAACTAAAATATTTTAGCACAGCAAAGGAAAACATCAACAAAATAAAAAGACAACCTACTAATGGGAAAACATATTTGACAATGATATATCTCATAATAGTCAAAATTTATTTAAAAAGTATACAACTCAACACCAAAATACAAACAACCCAATTAAAAAGTGGACAGAGGACCTGAACAGACACTTCTCTAAAGACTCCATACAGATGGCTGATAGACATATGAAAAGACGCTTAGTATATTTAGTCCTCAGAGAGATGCAAATTAAAACCACAATGAGATATCCTTACACCTGTCAAAATGGCGATCATCAATAAAATTTTTAAAAAGCTTGATTTGACCAAAATATGGAGAAAAGGGAACTCTTGTCACTTTTGGTGGGAATGTAGATTGGTGCAGCCACAGTGGAAAACAGTATGGAGTTGTTTTTTTTAAGTAATTAAAAAATGGAACTTCCTTATGATTCAGAGATTCCACTTCTGGGTATATATGCAAAGAACCCAAGACACGAATTCCAAAGAATATATGTACCTTATGTTCACTGCAGTATTGTTTACAATCCCCATGCTATGGAAGCAACTCAAGTGCCCATCAACTAATGAGTGGATAAAAAAAGTGGTGGAATATTATTCGGACATAAAAAAGAATGAAATCTTGCCATTTGTGAGAGCATGGATGGACCTAGAGGGTAGTATGTTAGTGAAATAAGTCAGTCAGAGAAATACGAATACCATATGATTTCACTTATATGTGGAATCCAAAGCCAATATAAATGAGCAAACAAAACAGAAGCAGACTCATAGATACAGGAAACATTTTGATGGTTATCAGAGAGGGAGGAGTTTGGGGGGCTGGGTGAAAAAAGGTGAGGAAATTGAGAAGTACAGATTGGCAGTTATAAAACACTCATGGAAATATAAAGTAAACCCTGGGAAATATAGTCATTAATACTGTAATAACTAGGTATGGTGTCAGGTCAGTACTAAAAATATTGTGGAAAACACCTTGCAAAGCATGATTTTCTAACCATTATGCTGAACACCTGGGACTAATACAAAATAATATTAAATGTAAAGTTTTATTGACAAGAATAATAAAAATAAGTAAATTTTATAAAGGAGAAAAAAAAGACCAGAACAGGTAGGCAGCCCTAAAAATCCAAAAAGATATTTAAAGTATGGTTGCTTGTGCATCTGAACTTGTACAATGTTTGCCAATAACCACCAGAGAAATACATTTCAAATTATCACACAGATTATTAGAATAATTACACCTGGAAACCTACTAATTAATGAGAAAGAATATGATATGTTATAGCAAATGTGAATAGAAAAATGTATGTAATTTTGTTGTTGTTGTTAATCCTCACCTGGGGATATTTTAATATTGATTTTTAGAGAGTGGAAAGGAGGAAAGGAGGGAGGGAGAGGGAGAGGGAGAGGGAGCAAGATGAGAGGGAGAGGGAGAAGGATGAGAGGGAGAGGGAGAGAGAGAGAGAGAGAGAGAGAGAGAAACATCAATTATTTGCCTCCTATTCCCTCCCTATCATGCCCCTACTGGAATTGAGCCTACAACCCAGGTATGTGCCCTTAACTGGAATTGAACCTGGGACCATTCAGTCTGTGCTGACGCTATACCCACTGAGCCAAACAAGCTCGGGCAAAATATATGTAATTTTATGCATAGTTCAGTTCTCTGCACACTCTAAACTTTAAAAACATTTCTTAATCTGTAAACTTTATGGGGGCATATAAAGTAATAAAAAATGGTTAGAAAGTTCACCAAAACATTGCAAACTCACAAGTCCTTGACTGTAATGCCCTTGCAGATTTGACAGAATATCGAATTTGATATATCCAGATCGTGCCAATACTTGAAAGCCAGAACAATGGCGCCGAAAACAATTCGTTTCCAGTTAGTTGGGCAAATGTCGATTTCAGCATATGTTAAAAGTCTTTCTATGTAAACCTGCAAAAGTAAAACACCGGTCTTTGATTCTAGCTCAGTTTAAGTGCTGTAATAATAACTATTAAGAATGACAGGTTTCGTCAGTTTCGACATGCCTTTTATTTTTAGGTTCTGGCCATGAGACTAGTTGGCCAGCCAAAGCCAGAGGCCAAGTCACGGTTGCAAATCAGATACTTCTGTTGCCTATTTTCCCATGTGGAATTTCCAGCCCAATTTTTGGTCACAGGGATGAATGGACAAGTTAGCAAAGGACTTCCTGAAGAAATGTTACTTTCCCACTTGCAAAGGGCAGCCCATCCAGGCCCAGTGCAGACACTAGACTGCCCACCATGTGCACTGTTTCATACCTAGCTGGTAGTTAGTGGTGATTTTACATAATCCTTGAATATGTAAATCCCTGCCAATACTGAGCACATTTGTACCTTCTCTACACAGTAACTAGTCCCTTTGTGGCCCAAGCTGAAGCTAAAGCTTGGTTGTCAAGTCAGCCCCCCAGTGGCTGCTGTGCGGTGCCGCAGGACAGGTAGTGTGAACAGGTGTGTCTGAATCAGGTGTTTACAACTCAAGTATTCTTGAACTTAGTGCCTTTGTAAGAAACACACATGCACACCAAGGACAGTTCTTTTATATCCCCTTAGCCTCACATCTCCATCACGATTCTGTGAAATCCATCTCTGTCTTACACAACCTGAAGCTTGGTCAGTTCTGTTGGTTTCAGGTGGTAGCAGAGCTGCCAGTCTCTGTCTCCCTGGTTCTCCTCTAACCCTGCATAGCTGGTGAGATCTCATGATTTCTTCACATGTATTATATGTCTATTCTACAAAGAACTGGGTGAAGTTAACAGCTAAGCAAAGATTATAGAGGCAAGCTGTGATTTGTTTTTACCTCAAGGGTTCTTTGAAGAAGAGTCTGTATATCATACAACAAAGAGAAAAAAGTCCCATTTTAAATAGTATGTTTACTGTCTGAGGTTATCAGATTGACAGCTCACATTTGCCAAAGCTCTTCAAACCCAACTGTATTTTAAAAAATAAACGGTTATTAAATATTATGTGTTCTTAGTGAAAATTTGCACCAATCCCCAAAAGCTCAATGCTCTCAGATATCGTATCTTTACAAGGTTCAACTGTCTGCCTGATGGGAATAATTAGAGACAAATACAACATTGGAAATCACTCAACTTCCTGCAATCTTTACTGTGGACTTGGTATGTGCCATTAATCATTCATTTATACCACTTGCCCTCCTGTGTCACTAGAATTGAGATTTCTCTTCTCACTGAAACTCTTCTAGCAGTGAAATCGATCCCATCCCACTTCTGAAGAACACCTCCCACAATTACATCTTTTTTAACACTTCCCTGTGGCCCAGAGATTCTCCCCAATATGAATGTATTTATGTGGTACCCATCCCACCCCCCCCACAACCCCTAGGCTGCCTCCTCTCTGTTAGCTCACAGTGAATGCCCTGAAGCTGCTGCTCATCTCCCACTCTCTCCTTCACCCACTGTAGTCTGCCCCTGGCGACTGAAACTACTACTGCTAAGGTCATCTGTGCGTTTGCACATACAAACCAGAGCTCTTCACCCCAGCTCCCCACTCCCCACCCATTCCATAATGCAGTGATGGCGAACCTATGACACGCATGTCAGAGGTGACATGGGAACTCATTTTTTTGGTTGATTTTTCTTTGTTAAATGGCATTTAAATATATAAAATAAATATCAAAAATATAAATCTTTGTTTTACTATGGTTGCAAATATCAAAAAATTTCTATATGTGACACGGCACCAGAGTTAAGTTAGGGTTTTTCAAAATGCTGACACGCCGAGCTCAAAAGGTTCGCCATCACGGTGCTGTCCTCTCCTCTGTTTTTACTCTTTTTACTTATGCTCTCCCCTCTGTCTGAAGTGCCATGTCCCCTGCATGTCACCAGACTGACTCTTGCTCCTTTAAAAAGACTCAGCTCAGCCCCTACCCTCATTCCATCCCAACTTCTCACCCAAGTCACTGTTATTGACCCTGACTTCTTAGCTTCTATTCAGGCTCAGAGCTACAGTCATTCTCCCCAAAGCAGCCAGGATAGCCTTTTTAATCAAGAGCACTTCCCCACCCTGCTCATCTCTGCCAAAGGGTTTCCACCAAACAAATAAAAATGTCACTTCTTCCCATGGCCTGCAAGCTGCAAGGCCCAATCAGGTAGCACTTGCCCTTCTAGGTCCTCATGCCCTACATTCTCTCCCTCATTCCACACTCTGACCACACTGGCCATACCTCACTCTTACTCAAATACCAAGTATAAGTTCCCGTCTCAGAGGATGGCACTTGTTCCCTCTGCACATAACGCCAGAGCTCCTCATCTTCCTCAGTTCAGTCAGGCCAGGGTCAGTTGTCATCTCTTACAGAGGCTCTTGTTGATCACCTCTCTAAAGTAGCAAGCCCCTCTCAGCATGATATCACGTCACCCTGCTGTACCTTTGTGATATTTACTACTACCTGAGATATTCACCTTTTAACAACACTCAGTTAAAGAAATATTTATCTCTTCCTCACTAGGACAGAAGCTCCATAAAAGCAAACACTTTATTCAACCATGTCTCTCCTCTATCCTCTGCACTTAGATCTGTAAGGACTCAGCTCTGAAGGAGAAATCATCAGGCATAGCTTAGGGTGCTATCAAAAACAGGGAGAAACAATAAAATAGAAGGAAGATGAGCGAGGTTCCAGAAAGAGAGTGAGTTCAAAGTGCTCAATGCTGCCAAGAAGTTGCTCCTTCCATAAATATCCACTAAATACCTGCTCTTGTTACTCTTCTAGCTTCTCAAAGTGCTCAATGCTTCCAAGAAGTTGCTCATTCCATGAATAGCCACTGAATACCTGCTCTTGTCACTCTTCTATCTTCCATGCACTTTTTATCCACACGCTTTCTCGGCATTGGAATAGCTAATGCTAATCCCCTGCCTCCAGTCAGATTCATGCTCTGATTCCATATATTCACACATTCCCTAGAGATGCCCCCTCTGTCCCACAGGTGCATCGAGCTTAATGTGTCTGCAAAGGACCCACCCTCTTCTACCCCAGATGCTCTCCTTGCTGAGTTCCCTAGCTCTTCAGGTAGGAGCACCACTCCCGCCTTTCCCCAGCTGCGCTCAGCACTCCAGATGGCTGGCAGCTCCATGGAAAGGCCTGTGTCTAATCCAGTGCCCACTGAGGGGTCTCTATTCGGAAGCACAGGCTGCCTCTCCAAATTCTGACTGAACACTGAAGGAGGAGGCACTGCACTAAGTACTCTTCCCTCAGACCAAGCAGGAGACTTTCCCCTTTAGGA